TCAGACTGGATTTGGCATTTTGTCTACCTATCGAGTCCTTACCCAGGACCTGGGATAGGCAGATGTGGATGTTTGATGGTATTACAGTATCGTCGCAGGATGGAAGCAGTTCCTAATAAGGTCGCCTTTTGCAATTGACTAATCGCGAATTTGTCAATGCCGATGATGGTGTTCAAGTGGTGCTCCAGTTGTTTTGGGATTGCACCCAAGGAGCCTATGACTATTGGTACTACCCTTGCTTGCTTTTGCCACAGTCTTTCTATTTCTATTTGTAGGTCTTTGTATTTTGTTATCTTCTCCAGCTCTTTCTCTTCTATTCTTCTGTCTCCAGGCACTGCCACATCCACTATCCAGACTTTTTTGTCTTTCTTATCGACAATTGTTAAGTATGGGGTGTTATGTTGCAGGTGCTTGTCTGTTTGAATTCTGAAGTCCCAGAGCAGTTTAATTTTATCATTTGTTGTTGTTGTTGTTATTATTATTATTAAGTTGCCAGATGTGTATATGGAAGAATATTGGATGTATTGGGACATTTGAGCAAAATCCGAACAACAAGCCTGTCAGGATGAGACCCAAGTAGTCTGACCCACGTAGGTCCACATGGCTTAAAACCCGCCCCATAGGGAAACCCCTGACCTCCTGGCAATGGTGGTCAGCACCAGCCTCACCTCTGTCGTCCACAATGAGTTTGTCCATGCCCCGGGGGCCCAGCGTAGTCCGGACGGCTTCCGCAATCACTTGGCAAGCACTGATGTTGCTAACCAGCTGCGGGATGCCTTGGGAAGTGTCCGTGCCTTCCTTCAACAGGATAACAGGTGTGGGCTGCAGGTAAAGCAAGGTTGGGTCACAAGTCAGGTATGGCGAGGCCCAAAGCGGAAAACCAGCCACACATTTGATTGCGCGCACAAGGACAATTGTTATCCAGTTATTTCTGGCATGGAAAAGGCAGAAAGCTGAAGAACAGAGTTAAGCAGAGTAGAGTAATGATAAGAATAGAATAAAATAAAGATAATGGAATAGAATATAGAGTAATGTTAAGAATAGAATAGAATAATGATAATGGAAAAGAATATGGAGTAACGTATAGAATAGAATGACAATGGAATAGAATATAGAGTAATGTTAAGAATAGAATAAGAACAGAATAGAGTAATGATAAGAATAGAGTAGAATATAGAACAGAATAGAAAATATATAAAATAGAATAGAATAGAGATAGGATAGAATAATAATAATAGAATAAGAATAGAATGAATAGAATAAAATAATGATAGAATGATAGAATAATAAGAATAGAAGGATAGAATAGAATAGAATAATGATAGAATAATAGAATAATAGTATAGAATATAATAGAATAATGATAGAACAGAATATAGCATATAGAATAGAATAGATAATAGAACAGAATATAAGGTAATCTTAAGAATAGAATAGAATAATGATAAGAATTAAATAGAATATAGAACAGAATAGAAATTAGAAAATAGAGAATAGAAAATAGAGAACAGAACAGAAGCTGGAAGGGACTTTGGAGGTCTGCTAGTCCAGCCCCCTGCTTAGGCAGCTTGGTAAAAATAACAGTGATGCCTTAAGGGATGTACACATAGTCCTCAACTTGCGGCTACAAACGCAGCCTCAAATATCTGTTGCCCAAGTGAAACATTTGCTAAGGGCGTTTTGCCCCGTCTGACCATTTTTCTTGCCGGTCGCTAAGCAAACCAATGCAGTTGTTCAATGAACCACAGGCTGGTTAAGCAAACCTAGCTTCCCCATCATCAACACTGAGTCAGTTGCCAAGAGTCTGAATTTGGATCGCCTGAGGAGATGAGGATGCTGCCAACGGTCGCAAGCCTGAAAAATGGCCCCAAGTCCCTTTTTTCCAGGCTCTTGCAACTGTGAACGGTCCACTAAATGAACCCGTTGTAAAGTCGAGGACTGCCTGGATTGTGTTTATTTACTGTTGAAAGCAGCCCAGGCAGTGAGACGAGGCAGGACATAAATTAAAACTATAAATTAAAACATATCAAGGAGAGAAGCAACCTGGAACCAAGGAGAAACTTCCCGACTGTCGGAACAATTAACCAGCGGAACAACCTGCCACCAGAAGCGGTGAATGCTGCAACACTGGAGGTTTTTAAGAAGAGACTGGACAGCCCTTTGTCTGAAATGGGTTAGGGTTTCCTGCCTGAGCAGGGGGCTGGACTAGATGACCTCCAAGATCCCTTCCAACTTTATTATATATAAAATTTTTTTTTTGCAAATACAGCCCCTTGCAGGGGAGGTGGCGGGGGGGGGGCGCTGCCTCTTCTGCACACCCATCCCGTGCATCACACGGGGTAAGTGGTCTCCTAACGTCTTCACACATGCACCCACATTCACAATACCTGCGGGTTAGGTCTCGTGGTGGGAGGGGGCAGCTGTCCTGCCCTGAATTCCCTCTGGGACTACACCTCCCACAAGGCCTCGCGGCGAGGCAGCCATTCGGCTAACGGAGCCGGCTGCCGCAGAGCTTGCCGGGAGTTTTAGTCTCCGGGGGTTCCAGCCCTGACCGCGTGTAGCTCGTTCGGCTTTTAGCTCCGCTCAAGGGAGGCCTCGTACGTTGCAGGAGCGCAGCCGCCGGCGGGGCTCCCGCGTCGGCCTCCCGCCCGCCGGCGACCCACCCCGGCTTCCATCAATACCGGCTCCTTCTCGCCGAGAAGCCTCTCCCGAGGAGGAGAAGGCCACCCGCGAGGAGACCGACGCCCGCCCCGCGGCGGATGGCGGCGGATAAACTCGGCTCTGCCACCGCTTTCCCCGTCACTCACCATCATCTTGGCGGCGGCTCTGGTTCAACGCTCCCTTCCCCAGAATGCACCGCGGTCGCCTAGAAACTTCGCGGGGGCCGGGCCAAAGGAAAGGGCGGGGCCGCAAGGGGAAGTACGGCGCGAGTCTCATAGAGAGAAGAAAAAGGAAGAGTCCTCCTCTCACGGGCGCTTCGGAGTTCATATTAAAACCTTTTTTTTTCTTCCTTTCCAGGCATTTTTTTTCTCTTTTGACAATAGGAAAATGGAAAAGAAGAAATTTATTTTATTTATTTATTTTTTAATTTTTATTTTTAACCGACAAAACAGAACAAAGCAAAACATAACACACATACACACACAATATATACTTCTCCTTTTTTTTGTTAACAGCAATTACATAACGGTAATCTAATATTTACATTTCCCCCTTATTCTTCTTTAGAATATTTGTCCTTATAGCCCCATTATTTCTTATTTACATTTTTCTTCCTTCATGTTCTACTTCTGGAAAAGAAGAAATTTAATTATTCTTGAAAATAGCAGGGATTTTTGGCCGAGGCGGTAGCAAAAAAGTGGCTTGCGTTAATCCGTTATTCACTTGGGCGTTGTTTCTCAATTTCAGCATCTTTGAAATGGGTGGACTACAACTCCCAGAATTCCCCAGCCGGCTTGCTTATGGTTTTTTAGAGCAGTGTTTCTTAAACGCTTTGCTTTCGTGACCCTTTCCCTTTCATAAAAATGAAGGGGGACCCTCCAAGGGGTTTTTCTTCATAGGGGTTGTATTTATCGATAGTTACCCTATTAAAAATTAAAACGGAGGCGTTTGGGACAATGCTTGTGGATTGAACCAGGTTAAAAAAAATAACACACTTTAACCCAGGGGATATATACATAGTTTTCATCAAAATCCCAATTGATTTAAAATTGATCTCTTTTTAAAAATATTTACCTATTCATTCATTTATATGCTGCCCAGAGTAAGAGGGGCGGCATATAAATGTTTTTTTAATAGCTAAAATAGAAAAAGAGTGGAGTCCTGCAGCTATCTACATTCTCTTCCAGTCTTCTTTTAAGATCTGTTTGTTGTCTATGATCGATGCAGCCATCCATCCACTCTGTATCTCTATCTACCTACTTACTATCCATCCATCCATCCATCCATCCATCCACTATGTGTCAATGCAAAAACATCTGGGCCAAAGGAAAGGGCGGGGCTGTCTGTCTACCTACTTACCGTCCTTTCTGTCTATCATTCTATTCTATTCTATTCTATTCTATTCTATTCTATCTTATCATTATTCTATTCTATTCTATTCTCATTATTCTATTCTATTTTCCTATTCTATAACCCTATTCTATTTTTCTATTCTATTCTAATCTATCATTATTCTATTGTATTCATTCTTTCCTACTGTTATTTCTATTCTATTCTCTTATCATTATTCTATTCTATTCTTGTCATTATTCTATTCTATTTTCCTATTCTATAACCTTATTCTATTTTTCTATTCTATTCTAAATTTCTATTCTATAATATCATTATTCTATTCTAATCTAATCTATAATTATTCTATTCATTCTTTCCTACTATTATTTTTATTCTCTTATCATTCTTCTATTCTTCTCATTATTCTATTCTATTTTCCTATTCTAGTCTAAATTTCTATTCTATTCTATCATTATTCTATTGTATTCTATTCATTCTTTCTGTTATTCCTATTCTATTCTGTCTTATCATTATTCTATTCTTCTCATTATTCCATTCTACTTTCCTATTCTATTCTAAATTTCTATTCTATTCTATCATTATTTTATTCTATTTTAATCTATCATTCTGTTCCATTCTATTCATTCTTTCCTATTGTTATTTCTATTCTATTCTATTCTATTCTATTCTATTCTCTATTCTGTTTCTCTTCTTATTCTCTTCTGTTCTCTTCTCTTTTATTCTATTCTATTATTCTATTCTATTATATTATATTATATTATATTACATATCCTCTTCTCTATTCTCTTCTTATACTCTTCTCTATTCTGTTTCTCTTCTCTTCTCTTCTATTGGAATAGGCTGCATATTTTGGATTATATTTCGCATTTAAGCAAGAAAAAAAATAATCGCCCTCCCGGTCTACTCGGAGGCGGACGGTAAACCAAAGAGACAAAGCAGGGGAGGATTCCTTGAAACGCCCGCCTCGGCTCCACCCAGATCTTCGGCTCCTCCAATCGGAAGAGCGGGTGGGCGGGGCCCCGCCGCAGCTGCTGTCAGCTGAGCTCGCCAGCTGCCGGCGCGCTGCGGTCCGAGGACGGCAGGCAGCGCCGGGCAGGCAGCGCTCGGCTGACGGACAGGCGGACGGGCGGGCTCCCCCCGCGATGTCCCCCGCCTGGTTTGCCCTGCTCCTCTTCCTTCTCCTCCTCCTCGGCTTCTGCCCGGCTGGTCACGGTGAGGAGCCGCCTCTTGGCCCCGTCGCGGTGCAGCCCCCACCGGGGTGCCTGGCTGCCATCCTGGCTTACCCGCCAGAGGCGCCTCTTGCAAGCCGGAGGCAGTGTGGGGGGGGTTTGGGGGGGCTGAGCTGGCGGGTAGCCGCGATCGGGGGCGCGCGTCTGCATGCGGGGATGCGGGTGGGCTGCGTGTCTGTTTCATAACCGTCGTGGGGGCGAGGATGCGTGTATCTACAAGAAGCAGGATTTAAGTCACGGGTAGGCAGCCTTGGCTGTTTTCTGACTCGTGGACTTCAACTCCCAGAATTCCTGAGCCAGCATGGCTGGCTCAGGAATTCTGGGAGTTGAAGTCCCCGAGTCAGAAAAGAGCCAAGGTTGCCTACCCTGGTTTTGGGCCATTCTAGACAACAGAAGGACTGGGGTGGGGGTTGTGATAGCAGTCTTCCAGGATTTGGGGGGACTGCCCCAAAGGAGAGGAGGGGAGTCCACCTCTTCTCCAAAGCCCCTGAAGAAGGCAGGACAAGAAGCAACAGAGATGGAGACTAATCAAGGAGAGAAGCAGCCTGGGATTAAGTGACAGTGAGAACAATTCATCAGAGGAACGACTTGCCACCAGAAGTTGTGGATGCTCCAACACTGGAAGTTTTCAAGAAGAGATTGGACAGCACGCTGGCTGAGGAATTCTGGGAGTTGAGGTCCACTCCTCTTAAAGTCTATATCAGGGGGTCTTCCAACTTGGCCCTTTGATGACTTGTGGACTTCAACTCCCGGAATTCCTCAGCCAGGCACGCTGGCTGAGGAATTCTGGGAGTTGAAATCCACAGGTCATCAAAGGGCCAAGTTTGAAGGCCCCTGATCTACACATTAAATTGCTGTATTTGATTCTAATTTCATTTTAAACTGCATTCCATCCCAATTTCATTTTAAGTGGTATTTTATCTCTAGTTCACATTAAATCGTATTTTAACCAATCCCGTTTTAAATTGTTTCTCTTGCATGTTAGTAAGAACGTGTGTTTGGAACGCTGCACCTCGATATGGTCCATGGGCTAATCAATAAAGTAAATTATATCACATTGAATAGGCATGTCCTTGCAGGCACCCACCCACCCAAACCAGGATTTAAGTTAAGTGCAGGCTGCCATCTGCGTGGCGTGTTTCCTACTTGCATTACGACAGAGATGTCCACCGCGTAGGCGGCTTCTCGCCTCGTCTATTCTTAACTCTTAGCTCTTGGCACCTGCGATGCGCCATGTTGCCAAGTTGCCGGTTGCCTTGGAAAGTAACCACGGACCTGTCTTTTTCTCCCCTCCCTGGTCACATCTTTGCCCAGTGGTAGAACACAGAATAACAAAGGGGCCTTGGAGGTCACCTAGTCCAACCCCCTGCAGAAGCAGGACAGTCTATACCGTTTCAGACAAGTGGCTGCCCAGTCTCTTCTTGAAAACCTCCAGTGATGGAGCACCTACAGCTTCCGGTGGCAAGTCGTTCCGCTGGTTAATTGTTCTCACTGTCAGGAAGTTTCTCCTTAGTTCCAGGCTGCTCGTCTCCTTGATGAATTTCCATCCGTTGCTTCTAGTCCTGCCTTGGAGAAGAGGTGGACCGCTCTTCCTTGTGGCAAACTCTTGTGTGATGCTGGATTTTTATTATTTGTTTATTTGTTAAAATTATTTGTTGCCCATCTTGCTGTGGGGCTACTCTGAGTGATTTAAGAGAGAGGGAGGGAGGGAGGGAGGGAGGGAGGGAGGGAGGGAGAAAGGGAAAGAGAGGGAGGGAGAGAGGGAGAGGGGGAGAGACAGGGAGAGGGGAGAGAGGGGGAGATAGAGGGTGAGAGGGAGAGAGAAGGATAGAGACAGGGAGAGAGGGGAGAGAGGAGAGAAAGAGGGAGAGGAGAGATGGAGAGACAGGGGAGAGGGGGAGTGGGTGGGGGAGAGGGAGAGGGGGAGAGACAGGGAGAGGGGAGAGGGGGAGATAGAGGGTGAGAGGGAGAGAGAAGGATAGAGTCAGGGAGAGAGAGGAGGAGGAGAGAAAGAGGGAGAGGAGAGATGGAGAGACGAGGGGGAGAGGGTGGGGGAGAGGGAGAGGGGGAGAGACAGGGAGAGGAGAGAGAGGGGGAGATAGAGGGTGAGAGGGAGAGAGAAGGATAGAGTTGGAGAGAGAGGAGAGAGATGAGGGAGAGAGGAGAGATGGAGAGACGGAGGGGAGAGGGGGAGAGGGTGGGGGAGAGGGAGAGGGGGAGAGACAGGGAGAGGGGAGAGAGGGGGAGATAGAGGGTGAGAGGGAGAGAGAAGGATAGAGTTGGAGAGAGAGGAGAGAAAGAGGGAGAGGAGAGATGGAGAGACGGAGGGGAGAGGGGAGAGACAGGGAGAGGGGAGAGGGGGAGATAGAGGGTGAGAGGGAGAGAGAAGGATAGAGTCAGGGAGAGAGAGGAGAGAAAGAGGGAGAGGAGAGATGGAGAGACGGAGGGGAGAGGGGGAGAGGGTGGGGGAGAGGGAGAGGGGGAGAGACAGGGAGAGGGGAGAGAGGGGGAGATAGAGGGTGAGAGGGAGAGAGAAGGATAGAGTTGGAGAGAGAGGAGAGAGATGAGGGAGAGAGGAGAGATGGAGAGACAGAGGGGAGAGGGTGGGGGAGAGGGAGAGGGGGAAAGAAAAGAGGGAGGGAGGGACAGGGAAGGGAGAGAAGGGGAGAGAGGAGAGATAGACGAGAGATAGGAGAGGAGAGAGGGAAAAGAAGAGAGGAGGGAGAGACGGAGGGGAGAGGGGGGAGAGAGGAGGAGTGAGGGACAGAGGGAAGGGAGAGGGAGAGAGAGAGAAGGATAGATGGAGAGACGGGGAGAGAAGGAGAGGAGAGGGAGGGAGAAAGGAGGGGAGAGAGGAGAGAGGGAGGGGAGAGGGGGAGAGAGAGAGGAGAGGCAGGGAGACAGGGAGAGGGGAGAGGGAGAGAAAGAGATGGAGGGAGAGATAGAGGGAGGGGGGGAGAGGAAGACAGAGGGAGGGAGGGAGAGGGGGAGACAGACAGACAGAGACAAACCACTCACGCATGGCTTCTGGCCTTGAACTCCAGTTCCTCCAAGTGTCAAGACAATCACACCCTTTGGGGGAATGTCTGTTTTCCTGGCTTGTGAAGACATCCACGCGCTCCTCTTTCTCTCTGCCAATTGCTAGGTTTACGCATCCAGGAGTACCTTTACTTCCATGTCCTCAGTCCGGGAGATATCCGTTACACCTTCACGGCTACGCCAGCCAAGGACTTTGGCGGAGTCTTCGTAAGTCTTTTTCTTGCCCGCTGCGCCCAAGCTTTCCTATCCTTCCCAGGGCCATCTCCGGAAGGAAGGAAGAAAGGAAGGAAGGAAGGAAGGAAGGGTTTAAAAGAATAATTAGCACCCTCTTGCAACACCACCCCCCCCCAGGGTTGCAACCCTAGTTTGGAGGAAGATCTTGAGATGTTCCTCAGCTAGAGGTCCTGAGTCCTCTCAACGTCAGTCTGGTTCTGGGAGGACCAGATTGTAGTTGAGCCACATCTGGAGGGCCTTTGCTGGTAGGACAACCTTTCCTGACCTCCACTTGCACATCTGTTGGGAGATAATTTGCGGAGAAGGAATATGGCACACCTGAGCCAGTTCTTGTCCTAGATTGATGGCTTGGCCTTCTTATCAAGCTGATTGTTTGGGAGCAAAAAAATCAGAGAAAGGTATTAATACGTGGGAATATTTATAGCGTAGGCTTGAACTGTGGGGTCCTTGGTGCTCGCTGAGCTGGGTGATATTCTGGCAGACATTCCATGACCCATCTGGGCAACATTATCAGTGCTGGAAGGAAGGGGGGGTTTAAGAGAGGAGGAGGAGGCCTGTGGAGTCCTTGGTGTTCTCTGAGCTTGGTGGTTTTCTTGCAGGCGTTTCATGACCCATCTAGGTAACCTTATCAGTTGTGGAAGGAAGGGGGGGGTTAATGGAGGAGGAGGAGGAGGAGGAGGAGGAGGAGGGAGAAGAAGGAGAAGGAGAAGGAGAAGGAGAAGGAGAAGGAGAAGGAGAAGGAGAAGGAGAAGAAGAAGAAGAAGAAGAAGAAGAAGAAGAAGAAGAAGAAGAAGAAGAAGAAGAAGAAGAAGAAGAAGAAGAAGAAGAATAAGAAGAAGAAGAAGAAGAAGAAGAAGAAGAAGAAGAAGAAGAAGAAGAAGAAGAAGAAGAAGAAGAAGAAGAAGAAGAAGAAGAAGAAGAAGACGACGACTGTGGGGTCCTTGGTGCTTTCTGAGCTGGGTGGTTTTCTTGCAGATGTTTCATGACCCAACTAGGGAACATCATCAGTACTAGAAGGGAGTGGGATGAGTGGAGAAGGGAGAGGTGGAGAAGGGTGACCGAGGGGTCCTCAGTGCTCTCTGCGCTTGGTTGTTTTCTTGCAGACATTTCATTACCCAGCTATGTAACATCACCAATGCTGAGCATCAGTGCATGGCTGGCTGGGGGATTCTGGGAGTTGACGCCTACCCATCTTAAACTTGCGGAGATTGAGAAACATCGATTGACCCAATAAATCCAGCCCGGTGTCCCATCAACAAAACCCAGAAGTGGTTGTGCATGGATTTGGGGGAAGCCATTAGGGCGAACCTCGTCGCTCCTGGGCACAGGATGATGGGTCCCACTCTGCAGGCGGTGGTTTTAAATCTTCCCTCTTTTATGTATCTCCCACTTGCCCAGAACATGAGATTCGAGCAGATTTACCTGGTTCCGTCCGATCCGCCAGACGCCTGCGGGGCGTTGAACAACGGGGTCTTTATTGAAGGCCAGATCGCCTTGGTGGAACACGGGTGAGTCCCTCCCGCGCTCTGCTTTTACACGCCGGTGGAAATCAGCGGGCTGCTTTTCGTGCTCCGAATCTTGGCCGGAGTATCCAGGACGGGGTTCCTTTCGGGAGGAAGCCCACCCCTGGATCTTTCAGGGACCCTCGAACCAGCGAGCAGGTCCAGACGAAACGGTGCTGGATTTAAGGGTGTCCACGACACAACACAACACCACGCGGTCAAGAAGAAGAAGCGTCCCAAAGGTGCTTTTTCAAAAGACAATTTTGAAACTGTTTTGCTTCTCATCCAAGAAGCTTCTTCAGTTCTGACTGAATGGTGGAAGACAGAAGGGTTTATATTCTTTGCAGTCATCTGATTGTTAGTACTCTCTCTGTGCCTTCTTGGTCATCTGAGTGGTGCAAATGGGTGTGGGACCTGCTTGGAACTGCTAAAAGGACCATGTTGTAAACAGGAGATGGGAGTGTGTGTGTGTTATCCCTCCCCCTCCGTTGAGGGAGGGCTGTTCAATTTGGGCCTAGATGGCCTCTTGGACTCCTTTTTCAAACCAGCGGCCCCCTCGGTCCAGAATGCAGACTTTGCTGTCTTTGAAAAAGCGGCCTTGGTCTTTCAAATGCAGACGGGCTGCTGACTCTTGTCCTGAGGGCTTTGTTCTCCTATGCCAGGGATAGGCAACCTTGACTCTTTTATGACTGGTGGACTTCAACTCCCAGAATTCCTGAGCCAGCCGTGCTAAGGGGAAAGGGAGAGGTTTCCAAGCTGAGCCAGGCTGGCTCAGGAATTCTGGGAGTTGAAGTCCACCAGTCATAAAGCGGCCTAGGTCCTAGGCCAGGGGTGGACAAGCTGGGAATTCTGGGAATTCCTGAGCCAGCCGTGCTGAGGGGAAAGGGAGAGGTTTCCAAGCTGAGCCATGCTGGCTCAGGAATTCTGAGAGTTGAAGTCGAGTCATAAAGCAGCCTAGGCCAGGGGTGGACAAGCTGGGAATTCTGGGAATTCCTGAGCCAGTCATACTGAGGGGAAAGGGAGAGGTTTCCAAGCTGAGCCAGGCTGGCTGAGGAATTCTGGGAGTTGAAGTCCACCAGTCATAAAAGAGCCAAGATTGCCTACCTCTGGCCTAGGCCTAGGCCGCTTTCTGACTTGTGAACTTCAACTCCCAGAAATCCTGAGCCAGCTTAGCTCAGCTTGGAAACCTTTCCCTTTCCCCCCCAGCATGGTTGGCTCAGGAATTCTGGGAGTTGAAGTCCACAAGTCATAAAAGAGCCAAGGTTGCCTATCCCTGTCCTAAGCTGTGCCAGGCTGTTTGTGAAGTGGTTGTTTTGTTTCTCCAAGGTACATTGGAGATAAACACAGATAAACCTCCAAGTTGCCTCAACGACTCTTCAGAGGAAGTGCAAACGACCAGATGATTGATTGCAAGGACTATAAAACCCTTCCATCCTCCACCATTCAGTCAGAACTGAAGAAGCTTCTGGGATGAGAAGCGAAACGTCTTCAAGGAAGTCCAGTTGCCTTTGGAAAAAGCACTTTGGGGACAACCAAAATGACGGGAGAATCTCCCTACACAAGAACTCAAGAGGGGAACCATAACAGTGTGACCATAGCACCGTGTGTGTGTGTGTGTGTGTGTGTGTGTGTGTGTGTGTGTACGCACATTGCAAAACACCCTGCCGCTCACGTGGAACCATTTTATCTCCTCTCCGCTGGCCCAGAAACCCGGGGATGTTGGGGACCCCTTATCTGAATGCATAAATGTGGACTTTTTGGGGGGGGGGGGCTTTTTCAACAGGGGCTGCTCTTTTCTGTCCAAGACTCGCACGATCCAGGAACACGGAGGCCAAGCGGTGATCATTGCAGACAATAGTTACGACAAGGACACAACCTACGTGGAGACGATGCAGCCCAGGGCCGACATCCCTGCCCTTTTCCTGCTGGGGAGAGACGGGTGAGTGACAGGGGGCTGCAGCCGAGACCCCCCCCTCTTTCCTGACCTTAAACCCCATTTGTACAGCTAAACCACTTACAGCGGCTTAGGACCGTGTTTCACACTTACGACCCTCGCAGCATCTCCCACAGTCAGGCGATCAAAATTCAGACGCTCGGCAACCGGTTTGTATTTATGACCGTTGTGGCGTTCCCCCGGGGGTGTGTGTCACGCGATCCCCTTTTGTGACCTTCTGACAAGCAGTCCATGGGGGAGCCAGCTTCACTTAACGACCGAGTTGCTTGCTTAACGACCTTAACCATTCACTTAGCAACCGTGTTACTGACTTAACTGCAGTGATGCACTTTGCAACGGTGGCAAGAGTGGTCGTAAAACGAGGCAAAAGTCACTTAACAAATGTCCCGCTTAGTGACAGAAATTTTGGGGCTCAATTTGTGGTTGTTGAGGATTGCCTTTATCAGGATTTGGTGATTTGTGACAACTTTTAGTTGGGACAAAAATTGCAGGATTCTGTTCCTTGTTAGAGTTGCTGTTGTATTTTTTATTATTTTATTTTACATTATTATTATTATTGATCATCGCACAATCAGCCAGATGTTCAGACTGGATTTGGCATTTTTGTCCACCTATCGAGTCCTTCCCGCGGGCCTGGGATAGGCAGATGTGGATGTTTGATGGTATTACAGGTCTCGTTGCAGGATGGAAGCAGTTCCTAGTAAGGCCGCCTTTTGCAATTGACTAATGGCAAATTTGTCAATGCCGATGGTGTTCAAGTGGTGCTCCAGTTGCTTTGGGATTGCACCCAAGGAGCCTATTACTATTGGTACTACCCTTGCTTGCTTTTGCCACAGTCTTTCTATTTCTATTTGTAGGTCTTTGTATTTTGTTCTCCAGTTCTTTCTTGTCTATTCTGCTGCTATTATTATTATGGATCATCGCACAGTCAGCCAGATGTTTAGACTGGATTTGGCATTTTGTCTACCTATCGAGTCCTTACCCAGGACCTGGGATAGGCAGATGTGGATGTTTGATGGCATTACAGATATCGTCGCAGATGATGATGATGATGATGATTATATTTTTCCAGTTTCTCTTGTCTGTAAATTGCCTAGAGCTGCTACGAGCTATAAAAGTTCTCTAAATAAAATAAAGAATAATGAATAAATAAAGAATAAATAACCCCCCCCCCACTGCCTTATTTTTACCCAGGTACATGATCCGTCGCTCTCTGGAGCAGCACGGGCTCCCTTGGGCCGTGATTTCCATCCCGGTCAACGCCAGCAGCGTTCCGGCTTCCGAATTCCTGCAGCCTCCGGGGATTTTTTGGTAGCAAAAAAAAGGAGGGAGCGAGCTGCGGCGTCGCAGAACCGGACGGAAGAGATAGACGATCCCACCCACGGATCAGCGTTGTCACCCAGTCCTGCAGCTTATAGGACCACAGGATCGTTTTTGAAGAAGGGAAACTGACCGGACCGTGTCATCTGGATGGCTGCTGACCCAGATAACACCCACTGGAACTGGTGGGCCCAACCAGCAGCTCTTGAGGCCCAAAGAGGAAGCCTGGACAGCTGGTTGGCTTGTTGCCCATGGCTTGCTGGTGTGAGGGTGGTTACCGGGTGGTCTCAAATCCGAGAATCCCAAGGCCACGTCTTCAAGAAATGTTTGCCTTGTCCTCACTTCCCGAGTCTGGGGTCTGAACCCCAGGGGGGCCTTTAAGAACCCCCCCCCCTTAGTTTCAAATTCAGATGCCAACTTGGGCAAAATATTGACCGGATGGACATTTGGGTAGTTTTGTGGGTGACAACGCCCGAGTTCACACGCGACAAAGCAAACTATGGTTTAAGGCAGAGGTTGGATGGCAAGGACTAAGCCCGGGGAGGGGACGGTGTGTGTGTGTGTGTGTGTGTGTGTGGTGTGTGCATTGCATACTTTCAGCGGCCTTTCACAGTTTGGGCACTTCCCCCAAGATTTAAGGGTCAACCCCCCCCAATTCAAGAAGCATGGTTTTTGTTAAGTTCTCGACTTAATAAGTTCATTTAGTGACGGTTCAGGGTTACCACGGCACTGGGAGAAAAAGGGACATTTTTCGAACTGGCCAACGGCCGGATTGATTGTGTTGTGTTTTGCCTTTGTCAATCACTGCCGGTCACCCTCCTTGATTAAAAGCAAAAGGCCACATTCTCCAGCCCTTGGGGGGGTCTCTGCTGGCTAGTTCTGTCATTTATTTAATCAGGCTTATTTATTTATTCCTTTGTTTTAAAAAAACCCACCTTTATTACAGGAGGTCCTCAACTTACAACAGCCCGTTTAGTCACCGTTCGAACTCACAACGGCGCTGAAAAAAAGGGACTTGGGACCGTTTTTCGCACTTACGACCGTCGCAGCCATCCCCGTGGTCACGTTAGCTGGGCAACGGAATTATGACGGTCGCCGTGTCCCGGGGTCACGTGATTCCCCCCTTTCGCGACCACCCGAGAAGCAGAGTCAGTGGGGGGGGGAGGCGGATTCGCTTAACAAACCCGTTACTAAATGAAGAACCGCAGTGATTCGCTTAACAACGGCGGTAAGAAAAATTGTAACATGGGAAGGACTCGCTTAACGAACGTCTCGCTTAGCGCGGAGATTTTGAGCTCGGCATTAGTCGTAAGCCTGTATAGCGAGTCCTCGACTTATGAGCATTCATTCTGTGACTGTTCACAGTCACAACGGCACCGGGAAAAGGGGGCTTTTCCCGGTGCCATTGTACACTTAACGACGGTTGCAATTTAACATCTATGTCGAGAAAGGTGATAAAATGGGGCAAAGCTTGCTTAGTGACCAGCTTGCTTAGAAGCGGAAACGTTAGGCTCCGTTGCGGTCGTAAGTCGAGGACCACCTTCGCCGAGTCTAATGAGCATTCAAGGAATAAACCTATGACGTCGGGTCTGGAGAGGAAGAACGCCAAGCACGCCAGACCGAAGCAAATCCTTTTGTATTGAAGGAGGTGGACCGATTTGCATAGAATTACAAAACTCCCCCTCGGAAGGAGCATAAAACAGACGAGGAGGGCACGCAACCACAAATTGTCACTCACTCACTCACTCACTCCCGGCTCAGGACGGCAGGCAAGATTTAAAATCAGGGTTAATAAAGCAGGCCAGACGTCTGAACGTCTGAGACGCCGGATCAGGAAGCAGGCCAAGCAAACCCGGGATCTGGATTCGGGTCCCGGCTTTTGGAGGTTGGTGGGTTGAGATCCAGAGTCAACCCAGCCTCGATCTGCTTGGGGAGGGAGGAGGGGGTGGGAGGAAGAAAGAGAAGGAAGGAAGGAAAAGAGGGAGGGAGGAAGATAAGGGAAGGGAGGGAGGAGGAAGGAAGGGGAGGGAAGGAGGAAGGGAGAGAAGGAAAAGAGGAAGAAAGGGAAGAAGGAAGGAAAAGGGAGGGAGAGAAAGAAAAGAGGGAGGAAGATAAGGGAAGGGAGGAGGAAGGGGAGCGAGGGAGAAAGGAAGAGGGAGGAAGAAAGGGAGGGAGGAAAGAAGGAAGGAAAAGAGGTAAGAAGAAAGGAGAGAGAGAGATGGGAAAAGGAAGGAGGATGGAAGAAAAGAAAGAGAAAGTAGAGAGAGAGAAGAAGGAAGGAAGGAAGGAAGGAAGGAAGGAAGAAGGAGGGTGCCCCATTGACCTATTCTCTGTAGGCCAGGTGAGTCTCCCCCAAAACACCCAGCCCAGCCGCCATCTTGAAATGCGCCCAATATTTTGGGGCCAAGGCTGCTTTGCATGGCTGCAGACCACAGCTGGAGCAGAGGAGAGTCAGGTAGTCCTCGACTTACAACAGCTCGCTTAGTGGCCCTTTTAACGGCGCTGGAAAAAAAGCGACTCGGGACCGGTTTTTTTTTTCACACCCTTGCCACTGTTGCTGCATCCCCCACGGGTCACGTGATCCAAAATACAGCCGCTCGCCCACTGACTCGTATTTATGACGGTCGCAGCATCCGGCGGCGGGGGGGTGTGTGTGTCACGTGATCGTCTTTGACGGCCTCCCGACAAGCCCGGTCAAGGGGGGGAGGGGGAAGCGGAATTCACTTAACGACCGGGTGGCCCACTTAGCGATGGGGGAGGGGGGTGATTCACTGAACAACGGAGGCGAGGAAAGGGGTCGCCGTGGGGCAAAACCCGCTCCCCAAACGTCCCGCTTAGCGACGGACTCAGTTTGGTCGTACATAGAGGACTAGCTGCACGGAAAACCAGGTTTCTCTGCTTCTCTTTGCTGGAAAGGGGGGAGAGGAAGGCGCGGATCGGGGCCAGGATTAGACCCCCCCCACACACACCCAGACCCCACATCCTTAAGGCAAGGCTGGAGAGGCAAACCACGTTAGGTTTGCTGAACCCCCTTCTGTTGGAGATGGAGGCCAGGGAGGGGGGGGTCTTCTGCTCCCCACTAGGTTGGGTGTCCAGGGGTCACCCCTGCCTGTTCAGGAGCCCACCCCTCCTTGCTAGGCAGCCTGTGGGTCAAGAGGAACGATGGGTCCCTCCCTGGCCACCCGATTCCTCCCCCCCCCATCCACCTCCTCCCAAGCCACCATCTGACCAGGATGCTGTTCCCACCACAGCCCTAGGGCCTCTAGAGGGGTCCCCCCCTCCCACTCACGCCCCACCCAATTCGCCCCCACCCTCCCCCGGAAGGCCAGATCAAACGTCCGTCATCTCGTCCTCCAGCTCCGCGCCGTCGGGCTCCCCTTCGCCTTCCTCCTCCTCCTCTTCCTCCTCTGACGTGAGGTCGGGGTCTTCGGCTTGAGCCAGGCACTTGGGGCAGGAGCAGACGAACAAGTAGTTTTCCCTAAGGGTTTTTTTTTTGGGGGGGGGGGTTACGGAAGAGAAAGAGAGAGAGATGGAGGAATTTCGCAAGACGGAAGATTTGCTGGTAGGCCTCGACTTACGACGGAGGGGGGGGGGCTTGCGATGTCCTGGCGGTGAAGGAGTTAAAAATGCAACCATTAGGTCACCTCCAGATGGCCTCAAGGACTCTCTAAAAGAAGGCAAAGGACCGGCTGTCTGCAAGGAGTATAAATTCTTCCCTTCCCCACCATTCAGTCAGAGCGGAAGAGGTTTCTGGGATGAGAAGGGAAACATCTTCAAGGAAAAACAAGGAAGTCCATTTGCCTCCTGAAAAAAAGCACCTTTGGGATACTTTGGCCATCAGCCGTTGGGATTCTTATAGGGAGCAGAATTTTGCAATCAACCTTGATCCCCGTTTGAACTGCCTCATGTGTGTGTGTGTGTGTGTGTGTATGTGTTAAATTTTGGATTGCTAACGAAGAGTTTAAGGGAGACCGGTATACAGTAGCTATTTCCAGCTAGTTAGCTCTCATTTCTTCTTCCAAAATTTGGGCTGACAGGGTGCATCGTAAAAAAATCACTCAAGATAGATAGATAGATGGACAGGCAGACAGATGATAAAGAGGGAGCGAGGATAGATAGATGTTACATAGATGATAGGAGATGGATGGATGGATGGATGGATGGATGGATGGAGATAGATAAATAGATATAGATGATATAGATAGATGAATAGATAGATGTTAGATGATAGATAGATAGACAGACAGATAGATAGATAGATAAAGATAGATAGATATAGACGATAGATGATATAAATAGATGAATAGATAGATGTTAGATAGCTAGATAGCTAGATAGAAGATAGGGATAGATAGATAGATAGATAGATAGATAGATAGATAGATAGATAGATGATGGATGGATGGATAGGTAGATAGAGAGATAGAGAGAGATGATAGATAGATAGATAGATAGATAGATAGATAGATAGATAGATAGATAGATAGATAGATAGATAGATAGATAGATAATGGAGGGATGGATAGGTAGATAGAGAGATAGAGATGATAGATAGATAGATAGATAGATAGATAGATAGACAGACAGACAGACACAGACATAGATAGATAGATAGATAGATAGATAGATAGATAGATAGATAGATAGATCGATCGATAGATAGATAGATAATGGATGGATGGATGGATAGGTAGATAGAGAGATAGAGAGAGATGATAGATAGATAGATAGATAGATAGATAGATAGATAGATAGATAGATAGATAGATAGATAGATAATGGAGGGATGGATAGGTAGATAGAGAGATAGAGATGATAGATAGATAGATAGATAGATAGATAGACAGACAGACACAGAGATAGATAGATAGATAGATAGATAGATAGATAGATAGATAGATAGATAGATAGATAGATAATGGAGGGATGGATAGGTAGATAGAGAGACAGAGAGGACAGACAGACAGACAGATAGATAGAAGATAGGGATAGATAGATGATGGATGGATGGATAGGTAGATAGATAGATAGATAGATAGATAGATAGATAGATAGATAGATAGATAGACAGACAGATAGAGATGAGAGACAGACATAGGCAAATAGGCAGATAAACTGACACACACACACACACACACACACACACACACACAGATCCTCACTCACTGTAGAATTTTGCACCGGCTGTGTCGGCTCCGTTCTCTCTGGCAACAGTCCAGGTAGCTGATGCAGATCTCCTGTGTGGAGAAAAACACAACTGCAACAGACCGAAGGCCAAGCTAGCAAAGCAACAGCCAAGACAGCCGGAAGGAATGTCTGGCTCCGGGACACGCAGCCCCTGCCTGGTTCTTCAGAGCACGGGATGGTAGGAGGAGTGGCCGAGTCTGGGGGCGGAGTCAAAAGAGGGATCAGCCTAGAATCCCTACGTAGCCACAAACAGTCCCCTTGAGTTCCCCTGGCCCTTATCCAACTCCTGGCGGGTGCCAGCTTATTACAAGGAATCCTCGACCTAGGACGGGAATTGAGCTCAACATGTCCATTGCTGAGTTAGACAGTTGTTCAGTGAGTTTTGCCCTGTTTTGCAACGTTTCTTGCCACAGCTGTTTAAGGGAATCGTTGCAGTTGTTGTCCATAACACGGTTGCTAAGCAAATCGGGCTCCCCTGTGGACCTTGTTCGCCAGAAGGTTGCAAAGTGGGATCACTGGAGCCCTGGGATGCTGCAACTGTCATAAATACGAGTCAAGCATCTGAAATTTGGTCGCATGACCATGGGGATGCTGCAATGGTCCTACGTGTGAAGGGGAGGGGAGGGGCAGAAAGGAAAGGGAGGAGAGGAAAGGGAAGGGAAGTAAAGGAAAGGAAGAGAGAAAGGAAGGGAAGGGGAGGGAAGGAAAGGAAGAGGGAAGGGAAGGGAAGGGAGGAGAAATGGAGGAAAGGAGAGAAGGGAAGGGAAGGGAAGGGAGGAGAGGAAAGGAAGGGAGAAGGAAAGGAAGAGAAAGGGAGAAGAGGAAAGGAGAGGGAAGGGGAGGAAAGGAAAGGAAGAGGGAAGGGGAGGAAAGGAAAGGGAGGAGAGGAGAGGAAAGGGAAGTGAAGGAAAGGAAGAGAAAGGGAGAAGAGGAAAGGAGAGGAGAGGGAAGGGAAGAGAAAGGGAGGAAAGGAGAGAAGGGAAGGGAAGGGAAAGGAGGAGAGGAAAGGAAGAGAGAAGGAAAGGAAGAGAAAGGGAGAAGAGGAAAGGAGACGGAAGGGGAGGAAAGGAAAGGAAGGGGAGGAGAGGGAAGGAAAGGAAGAGGGAAGGGGAGGAAAGGGAAGGGAGGAGAGGAGAGGGAAGTGAAGGAAAGGAAGAGAAAGGGAGAAGAGGAAAGGAAAGGAAGAGGGAATGGAAGGGAGGAGAGGAAAGGAGACGGAAGGGGAGGAAAGGAAAGGAAGAGGGAAGGGGAGGAAAGGGAAGGGAGGAGAGGAAAGTGAAGGAAAGGAAGAGAAAGGGAGAAGAGGAAAGGAGAGGAGAGGGAAGGGAAGAGAAAGGGAGGAAAGGAGAGAAGGGAAGGGAGGAGAGGAAAGGAAGAGAGAAGGAAAGGAAGAGAAAGGGAGGAGAGGGAAGGGAAGAGAAAGGGGGGAGAGGAGAGGGGAGGGGAGGGAAAGGGGGGCTAACCTAGAACTCTTCACATGCTCGGCCGACACCTCACCTCTCCCTGGGGGATGTCTTCCACCGCGCTCAGGTGCAGGAGGGCGCTGTTCTCCGGGAAGGAGGCCTCGGCGTTGGGGACGCAGCTGTGATTGCCTGCAGGAAGGAGGAAGAGAGAGGACGGGTGTCCGGCTGAGGGAGCCGCTTCTGGCCGGCCTCTTCGGCCGAGGTCCGGCCCAGGGGATCCGCTGGGTCCTGGCTACTCACAGCAGCTCTGCAGCACGTAGAGGCCGGCACCCTCGCAGTTCAGGAAGTCTCCCGTCTCTGCATCCAAAGAGACAGAGAGAGGCGGTGAGGGGAGGCGGCCGGACGGCGGCCGGAACCACGTCCGAAGCAGACCCAGCCACTGAGACCGAGTCGGGGAGTCCTCGCTCTACGACCGCTCGTTCAGCAACCATCCCAAGCTATGGCAGATTTCTCCCCCCCCCCTCAAAAAAAAGGCACTTCAAGCCCAGTTGGTCATGTCCCACATCCACGGCCATCCCTGAGAATTAGGGGGGCACTTCTGCACATCTGGGGGCTGCGGAGGGCGAGGAAGGAGGGAGGAGCTGGTGGCTCCTCTGATACCGCGGGGGGGGGAGTCTGTTTCAGCCTGTCTGGGGAGGGGGAGGGAGGGAGGGAAGAAGGAAGGAAGGAGAGAGATGGGAGGAAGAAAAAGAGAGGAATGGATGGATGGATGGAAGGAAGGAGAGAGATGGAGGGGATGGATAGATGGAAGGAAGGATGGAGATAGATGGGAGGGAAGAAGAAAAAGAGGAATGGATGGATGGATGGATGGAAGGAATGAGAGACAGAAGGGGACAGAAGGGAGGGAGGAATAGATGGAAAGGATGGAAGGATGGAGGAAGGGAAGGAAGGAAGGAGAGAGATGGGAGGGACAGTGTGAGGGAGGGAGGAGATAGATGGGAGGGAGGAAGAAACAGGAATGGATGGAAGGAATGAGAGAGAGGGAAGGGATGGATAGAAGGAAGGAAATAGATGGGAAAGAAGAAAATGGAATGGATGGAAGGAAGGAAAGAGAGAAAGAGAGATGGAAGGAATGGATAGAGGGATGGATGGAAGGAAGGAAATAGATGGGAGGGAAGAAAAAGAGGAATGGATGGATGAAAGAGAGAGAGGAAGGATCGGGAGGGAGGAATAGATGGAAAGGATGGAAGGATGGAGGAACGGAAGGAAGGAGAGATGGGAGGGACAGAGAGAGGGAGGTAGGGAGGGAAGGAGATAGATGGGAGGGAGGAAGAAATAGAGGAATGGATAGAAGGAAGGAGAGAGATGGGAAAGAAGAAAAAGGAATGGATGGAGGGAAAGAGGGAGAAAGGAAGGAGGGAGGGAGGAGATGGGAAGAATGGAGGGATAGAATGGAAGAAAAGAAGGAGAAAGATTGGAGGAACAGAGGGAAGGGCGGGAGGAAGAAAGGAAGGAGAAAGGGAGGAGAGGGATGGATGGAAGGAAGGTATGGACCTCTTTCTGAAAGCATCTGATCAGCCCTCCATCCTCTGATCCTCGGAGATCTTCAGTAGCTCTTTCAGACCCGCATGACGGGGGGGGGGGATGCTACCCCCCCCATCTCCCCACCCCAACATCTGGCGGTCCCTCCGCCATTTTCTCCAGTCCCATGGGAGCCTCCTGCCCCCAAAGACCCATCCTGCCCTCCCCCCTCCTGCCCCCAAAGACCCCTCCCGCCCTCCCCCCTCCTGCCCCCAAAGACCCCTCCCGCCCTCCCCCCTCCTGCCCCCAAAGACCCATCCTGCCCTCCCCCCTCCTGCCCCCAAAGACCCATCCCGCCCTCCCCCCTCCTGCCCCCAAAGACCCATCCCGCCCTCCCCCCTCCTGCCCCCAAAGACCCCTCCCGCCCTCCCCCCTCCTGCCCCCAAAGACCATCCCGCCCTCCCCCCTCCTGCCCCAAGACCCATCCTGCCCTCCCCCCCCTTCCTGCCCCCAAAAAGACCCATCCCCCCTCCCCCTCCTCCCCCAAAGACCCATCCCGCCCTCCCCCCTCCTGCACCCAAGACCCCTCCGCCCTACCCCCTCCTGCCCCCAAAGACCCATCCCGCCCTTCCCCCCTCTGCCCCCAAAGACCCATCCCGCCCTCCCCCCTCCTGCCCCCAAAGACCCATCCCGCCCTCCCCCCTCCTGCCCCCAAAGACCCATCCCGCCCTCCCCCCTCCTGCCCCCAAAGACCTTCCCAGGGCTGGGGGGGGGGTCTCGGGCCCACCTTTCTCAATGTCCTTGTAGAGCTGGTCTATGAAAGCGTCCAGCTGTTCCCGTTCTTGCGTGGGCAGCTCCAGAGCATCGCAGGCCCGGACCCACTGACTCAGGGAGCTGTGGGGGGGGGGGGAGAGAAAGAAAGAAGGAAAGCCCACAGAAAAGTGGGGCGGGGGTCTGAATTTCTGCTCAAAGTTAACAACAGCCCTGAAAAATGGGGAAGCCATTTGGGGGACTCCCGTCACTGCGCCGATTCACTTAACGACTGGGGCAGGAAAGGTCACCAAACGGGGCAAAGCTCACGGCCTCGCTTAGCAACGAGGGCCACGCTCGTTACGGGAGTTTTTTTGCCCCCGTTTACGACCTTTCCGGCCACAGTTCTGAAGCCAATCACCGCAGTGGTGAAGTGAGTCACGACCCTGGGACATACGACCGTCATAAATGGGAGTCAGTTGCCAAGGGTCCGAGTTTTGACCACGGGGATGCGGCAACGGTCGTGCAGGGTGAAAAACGCTCCCAAGTCACTTTCTCCAATGCCACCCTAACGTCGAACGGTCACTAAATCGACGGTTGCAAATCGAAGGCTAGCCGTAATGCTTCCTAGCATTACATAAGCGTGAAAAACGGTCCTAAGTCACCTTTTTCCAGTGCCGTTGTAACTTTGAACGGTCACTAAATAATAATAATAATAATAATAATAATAATAATAATAATAATAATAATAATAAGAAGAAGAAGAAGAAGAAGAAGAAGAAGAAGAAGAAGAAGAAGAAGAAGAAGAAGAAGAAGAAGAAGAAGAAGAAGAAGAAGAAGAAGAAGAAGAAGAAGAGGACTGTGGGGTCCTTGGTGCTCTCTGAGCTTGGTGGTTTTCTTGTAGACGTTTCATGACCCAACTAGGTAACATCATCAGTCCTAGAAGGAAGTAAGGGTAGAGGAGGAAGAGGAGGAGGGGGAGGAGGATGAAGAAGAAAAATAGGAGGAAGTGGAAGTGGAAGGGGATGGAGGAGGAGGGAGAGAGGGCGGAGGAAGAGGAGGAGGAGGAGGAGGAGGAGGAGGAGGAGGAGGAGAAGAAGAAGAAGAAGAAGAAGAAGAAGAAGAAGAAGAAGAAGAAGAAGAAGAAGAAAGAAGAAGAAGAAGAAGAAGAAGAAGAAGAAGAAGAAGAAGAAGAAGAAGAAGAAGAAGAAGAAGAAGAAGAAGAAGAAGAAGAAGAAGAAGAAAGTCTGTGGGGTCCTTGGTGCTTTCTGATCTGGATTGTTTTCTTACAGACGTTGGATGACCCAACTAAGTAACATCTTCAGTGCTAGAAGGGAGTGGGACTGGAGAGGAGGAGGAGGAGGAGGAGGAGGAGGAGGAGGAGGAGGAGGAGGAAGAGAAGAAGAAGAAGAGGAAGAAGAAGAGGAAGAAGAAGACGAAGAAGAAGAAGAAGGAGGAGGAGGAGGAGGAGGAGGAGGAGGAGGAGGAGGAGGGGAGGGGACCTTAGAGGTCATCTAGTCCAGGGCCTTTCAACCTTTTCACCCATTGTACCACTTTTAGGATATGGCAACATCTGAGTACCACCAGTCGCCTAGCAAGGTGTCAAAAACTTGATGACCCCCCCCCCAAAAAAAGGAAAAAAGTGATCAAGTACAGGTAGTCCTCGACTTACAACAGTTCGCTTAGTGACTGTTCAAAGTTACAATGGCACTGAAAAAAGGGCCCCCCAAGTCACAGCCGAGAAAGACACCTGCCTGCCCGCCCGGCCGTGCTCTCATTCCCCTCCCCTGCTACCACTTTTCTAGGATGGTCGTGTACTACTTCCCAGTTGCAAATGTACCACCGGTGGTACCCGTACCACTGGTTGAAAAGCCCTGGACTAGTCCAACCCCCTGCTCAGGCAGGAAACCCTATATATCATTTCGGACAAATGGCTGTCCAGTCTCTTCTTAAAACCTTCCAGTGTTGGAGCATTCACCGCTTCTGGAGGCAGGCTGTTCCACTGGTTAATTGTTCTCACTGTCAGGAAATTTCTCCTTAGTTCCAGGTTGCTTCTCTCCTTGATGAGTTTCCATCCGTTGCTTCTTGTCCTGCCTTCAAGCGCTTTGGAGAATAGCTTGACTGCCTCTTCTTTGGGGCAGCCCCTCAAATATTGATCTACTGCTATCCTGTCCCCCCTCGTCCTTCTCTTCATTAAACTACTAGACCTCCCCAATTCCAGCAACCGTTCCTTGTATGTTTTAACCTCCAGTCCTTTAATCATCTTTGTTGCTCTTCTCTGCACTCTTTCTAGAGTCTCAGCGTCTTTTTTACATAGCGGTGACCAAAACTGGATGCAGGATTCCAAGGGTGGCCTTACTAAGGCCTTGTAAAGTGTTATTAACCCTTCACGTGATCTTGATTCTATCCCTCTCTTAATGCAGGACTGTCTGCAGTTATTAATAAATTTGTACCCCTGACTTTATTAAATTTTTACCCTGACTTACCTGGTCCCTATGCCTTGTCCGTTGGTCCCAACTAGGGCGAACAAAGTCCGGAAGCCTTCAGGAGAAAACCACTGGAGGGGATCAAAGAGAATTGCACACCTGGGGTAGGTGTGCCAACTTCACAATTCCCCCCCCCCCGCCAGCTCAAGGCCATAGTTTGCAAAATTTGCATCGAGCTTAAGCTGTTTAAACTGAGTATGCAGCCTGGGGGATTCTGGGAGCTGAAGTCCACCCATGCTAAAGCAGGCTGGCTGGGAGTTGAAGTCCTTATATCTTAAATAAGATGGCTGGGGGATTCTGGGAGTTGAAGTCCACCCCGCTTAAAGCATGCTGGCTGGGGGATTCTGGGAGTTGAAGTCCACCCCTCTTAAAGCATGCTGGTTGGGGGATTCTGGGAGTTGAAGTCCTTATATCTTAAATAAGATGGCTGGGGGATTCTGGGAGTTGAAGTCCACCCCTCTTAAAGCATGCTGGCTGGGGGATTCTGGGAACTGAAATCCACCCCTCTTAAAGCATGCTCACTGGGGATTCTGGGAGTTGAAGTCCTTATATCTTAAATAAGATGGCTGGGGGATTCTGGGAGTTGAAGTCCACCCCTCTTAAAGCATGCTGGCTGAGGGATTCTGGGAGTTGAAATCCACCCTCTTAAAGCATACTGGCTGGGGGATTCTGGGAGTTGGAGTCCTTATATCTTAAATAAGATGGCTGGGGGATTCTGGGAGTTGAAGTCCATCCCTCTTAAAGCATGCTGGCTGGGGGATTCTGGGAGTTGAAGTCCACCTCTCTTAAAGCATGCTGGCTGGGGGATTCTGGGAGTTGGAGTCCTTATATCTTAAATAAGATGGCTGAGGGATTCTGGGAGTTGAAGTCCACCCCTCTTAAAGCATGCTGGCTGGGGAATGCTGGGAGCTGAAGTCCACACACCTTACAGTTCTCAAGGCTGAGAAACATGGGCATATACGTAGGCTATGTATGTTTTTTGCCAGGTACACGTGATTTCTTTTCTCTGGTTAACTGATCTTGCTTTTCAAATATAAAGGGCCCCAATTTTTTCAGGGTTGGGGAGGCCTCTGGCTTGAATGAAGAAATGCGTAACGCCTCCAGAAAGCGCTGCATACAAATTGGGAATAGAGGACCCAAAGCAGACTGGAGCTCTTTGCATATCTGAGTCCCTGCACATCTGGCTGAAGGGCGCCTTCAGGGGTCGGACAGCTGTGGGGGTTTACCTTGCTAAGGTGGTCGTCGTAAAGGGCCTCTGTGAAAAGCATCCGCAGGACTTCTAGCTGGCCCTGGAAGGAGAAGAAACTTGAGTTTTACTGACTGGATCTGCACCGCCCGAAACCTGGCTAGTGAATTAACCCAGAAAAACACACTGTGGGTTCACCTGGAAAGCGAGAAAGAGCACCGAGGTACCCAGGACAGGCTGCAACCCACACAGATGCTTCAAAGTGGGAGCAGAGCATTTATTTCCAACTCTTTAAAGCAGCCACGTCGTTCCCTAACTGGAGCTTTTTGAAGCAGCCGTGTCTGTTCTTCGGGACGAAGTGAGCACTGTGAACAAGAAACCCACAGACTCCGGATTTATTTTTCGAGGATGCCTTCTGCGGCAAACGTTTGAAAAGAATGCTGTGGGCACACTCACAAGATGGCTCCCGTGGGAGACGCGTGGCCTCCCTAAGGGTCCCCTTATAAGCTTTTTCCCTCGGCCCTGGCTAACTCCTGTCTAGACACAAGGACACGTGTTCAGCTAGCAGAAGGCGTTCACCATTTTTAATCTGACGTCATTTCATTTAATTTAAGGGGGTTTTTTTTGGCGGGGGGAGAAAGTTTTTTTGCATCTGCACCAACTTTTAGGGCAAGTACGCTGAGATTCCCCAAGAGAGAGAAAATAATGATGCTTTGATTGGACACCCCCCATCGTTCAATAGATTGAAAAACAGAAATATGACGGGCCAAAACAGAAGGGATTAGGGTGCGTGAGGAGGAGGAGAGGGAGGGGGGAGGAGAGGGAGCAGCAGGAGAGGGAGGAGGGGGAGGAGCAGGAGAGGAAGGAGGAAGAGGAGGAGAGGGAGGGAGAGAAAGAGGGAGGAGAGGGAGGAGGAGTAGGAGGGAGAGGAGAGTGAGGGAGGAGCAGAAGGAGGGGGAGGAGGGGAGGAGCAGGAGAGGGAGGAGGAGGGAGAGGAGAGGGAGGAGAGGGAGGAGCAAGAGGAGCAGGAGAGGGAGAGGGAGAAAGAGGGAGGAGAGGGGGAGGAGGAGCAGGAGGGAGAGGAGAGAGGGGGAGGAGCAGAAGGAGAGGGAGGAGCAGGAGAAGGAGAGGGAGGAGGAGGGAGAGGAGAAGGAGGAGGAAGAGGAGCAGGAGAGGGAGAAAGAGGGAGGAGAGGGGGAGGAGGAGCAGGAGGGAGAGAAGGAGAGAGGGGGGAGGAGCAGGAGAAGGAGGGAGAGGAGAGGGAGGAAGAAGAGGAGCAGGAGAGGGAGAAAGAGGGAGGAGAGGGGGAGGAGGAGCAGGAGGGAGAAGGAGAGAGGGGGGAGGAGCAGGAGAAGGAGGGAGGAGGGAGAGGAGAGGGAGGAGGAAGAGGAGCAGGAGAGGGAGAGGGAGAAAGAGGGAGGAGAGGGGGAGGAGGAGCAGGAGGGAGAGAAGGAGAGAGGGGGAGGAGCGGAAGGAGAGGGAGGAGGAGGAGGGGGAGGAGGAGGAAGAGGAGCAGGAGAGGGAGAAAGAGGGAGGAGAGGGGGAGGAGGAGCAGGAGGGAGAGAAGGAGAGTGAGGGGGAAGGAGTAGGAGCAGGAGAGGGAGGAGAGAGGGAGGAGCAGGAGGAGGAGGAGGAAGAGAGGGAGGAGGAGCAGGAGCAGGGAGGGGGAGGAGCAGGAGGGGGAGGAGGAGGATGGTAGGAGGAGGAGAAAGAGGGGATGAGGAACAGGAGGAGAGGGAGGAGGAGAGGGGGAGGAGGAGGAGGAGGGAGGAGGAGGAGGAGCAATCCAAAGAGCCCCCCAGGGCCGTCCATCTTCCTCCCTTAGAGAAACTGACCGGTTCCCTCCTTCTCCTGACCTTAAACTTCTCTCCCAACAGCTTGTGGACGATCTCTTCTTCCTCGTTGGCCGTTTTGTGGCAGAACTGAGAGAAAAGTTTGATCCACCACTCTTTGTCTTTCGCCTGGGAAGAAAAGGAGTTTGCTTAATGACCGCAGCATTCACTTTACAACCAGGGCGTTCGCTTAACAACTGCTATGGGGGGGGGGGAAGATTGTAAAAATTCGGGGCGACTCAATTTACAACCGCCACACATTATGACCCTGACAGGCAGCCTGGTCTGCGGTCTGAATCCGAGGACGACCTCTAATTAAAAATACAGATAGTCCTCGACTTACAACGGTTCCTGTAGTGACCGGTCGAAGTCACAACGGCACTGGATAAAGGGACTTACGGCCGGTTGTGTACACTGAACAACCGTTGCAGCCTCCCCAAAGGTCACATGATCAAAGTTCAGCCGCTCGGCAACTGGCTCCTATTTACGACGGTCGCAGCGACCGGGGGGGGGGGGCGTCACGTGGTCCCCTTCTGTGACCATCTGACCAGTAAAGTCAAGGGGGGAGCCTGATTCGCTTAACGATGGTGTCACCAATTTACCAACTGCAATGATCCCCTTAACAACGATGGCCAGGGAGGTCGTAAAACGGGGCAAAACTCGACTTGAGAACTGTCTCACTTAGCGACAGGAATGGTGGTCGTACGTCGAGGACATCCCGTATTCCCAGGACTCCTAGCGTGGACCCATCATCCCCGCTGGTCGGCCCAGCCCGCGCACGTACCTGCTTGACGGTCGCCACCATCCTGGCCATCAACATGATGCTAGAAGTTTCCGGGGGGTAGTGGATGTTCCTGGACGGGAGAAAGGGGGGGGGGGAAGAAAAGGAAATTCTAGAACGTTCCACAGACGAAACGGACATTTTAAGCCAAGCCCTTGGAGAGACAAAATGATGACCTCACCGATCAACTTTGCAAGATGCAATCCAGAGCGTGCGACCAGCAAACCCTTTGCAAGATCCCCCCCGGACAATACGGTATATATTGTATTTTATGATTATGATCATGATTTATCACTTGTTGCTGGTAGATACACTGAGATCTTTGAACCGGCGTGTCCAAACTTGGCCAATAAAGAATTCTATTCTATTCATCATTATTCTATTCTATTCTATTATTATTCTATTCTATCACTATTCTAGTCTATTGTATCATTATTCTATTCTATTCTATTCTATTCTATTCTATCATTATTCTATTCTATTCTAATTCTATTTTATTCTTCATTTATTCTATTCTATTCTATTCTTCATTTAGTCTATTCTATTCTATCCTATTCTAATTCTATTCTGTTCATTTATTCTATACTATTCTAATTCTATTCTCATTTATTCTATTCTATTCTACTCTACTTTATTCTATTCCATTCATTTATTCTATTATATTCTATTCTTCATTTAGTCTATTCTATGCTATTTTAATTCTATTCTTAATTTATTCTATTCTATTCTAATTCTATTCTATTCTTCATTTATTCTATTCTATTCTATCCTATTCTAATTATAGTCTTCATTTATTCTATTCTATTCTATTTAAATTCTATTCTTCATTTATTCTATTCTATTCTATTTTATTCTATTCTAATTCTATTCTTCATTTATTCTATTCTATTCTATTCTAATTCTATTCTTCATTTATTCTATTCTATATTCTATTCTATTCTAATTCTAGTCTATATTTATTCTATTCTATTCTTCATTTATTCTATTCTATTCTGTTCTATTCTATTCTATTTTATTCTATTCTAATTCTATTCTTCATTTATTCTATTCTATATTCTATTCTAATTCTAGTCTATATTTATTCTATTCTATTCTTCATTTATTCTATTATATTCTGTTCTATTCTATTCTATTTTATTCTATTCTATTCTTCATTTATTCTATTCTATTCTGTTCTATTCTATTCTATTTTATTCTATTCTTCATTTATTCTATTCTATTCTATTCTATTCTATTCTATTCTATTCTATTCTATTCTATTCTAATTCTATTCTATTCCAAGCTATGAAAGCCATTTTGAAAGCGTTGTGAAGTTGCTCCAAAATATCTTGTTCTCTTGAATACGCACACAAACCCGGACACACACACACACACACACACACACACACACACACGTATCTTGCCTCCAGGCTTCCTCCAGCTTGTTGAGGGGATGGTCGGGGTCTTGTCTGGAGGGTCCCAGGCAGAGAACTTGGTGGTATTGATTCCAGGCAGCCTGGCGGCACTCAGGACTGCAGTAGGTCACCTGTGACAGCAACGCAAAGAGAAGTCGCGCCACCAACGCAGGTGGTCCTTGACTTATGGCCACAATTGGGCCCAATATTTACACCGCTAAGCAGGACAGCGGTTCAGTGAGCGGTGCCCCGTTTTACGACCTTGCCAAGGTCGTTAAGCGAATCCCTGCAGTTAAGTTAGCAACACGGTTATTCGGTCAATCTGACTTTCCCATCGACGTGCGGGTTAAAAAGTGACCATGGGGGGGGAATCCCATGACCCTGGGAGACTGCAACCGTTTTAAGTACATGCCAGTTGCCCAGTGTCTGAATTTGGATCCCGTGGCCACGGGGATGCGGCAAAGGTCGTAAGTGTGAAAAATGGTCATAAATGTCTAGGGAGTCCTCCAGGTCCCGGTTGTCCCAAAGATGCTTTTTTCAGGACTGGACTTTATTTGTTTTTCCTTTGAAGACGTTTCGCTTCTCATCCCAGAAGCTTCTTCAGTTCTTGACTGGATGAGGGGGAAGGAAGGAAGAAAGAAAAAGGAAGGAAGGAAGGAAGGAAGGAAGGAAGGAAGGAAGGAAGGAAGGAAGGAAGGAAGGAAGGGAGGGAGGGAGTGAGGGAGGAAGGAAGACAGGCCTGGAATTAGGATGGATGGAAGGGAGGAAGGAAGGAAGGAAGGAAGGAAGGGAGGGAGGGAGGGAGGGAGGGAGGGAGGGAGGGAGGGAGGGAGGGAGGGAGGAAGACAGGCCTGGAATTAGGATGGATGGAAGGGAGGAAGGAAGGAAGGAAGGAAGGAAGGAGGGAGGGAGGGAGGGAGGGAGGGAGGAAGACAGGCCTGGAATTAGGATGGATGGAAGGGAGGAAGGAAGGAAGGAAGGAAGGAAGGCCTGGAATTAGGATGGATGGAAGGGAGGGAGGGAGGGAGGGAGGAAGGAAGGAAGGAAGGAAGGAAGGAAGGAAGGAAGGCCTGGAATTTAGGATGAATGGATGGAGGAAGAGAAGGAGGGAGGAAGGAAGGAAGGAAGGAAGAAAGAAAAAGGAAAGAAGGAAGGAAGGCCTGGAATGAGGGAGGGAGGGAGGGAGGGAGGGAGGGAGGGAGGGAGGGAGGAAGGAAGGAAGGAAGGAAGGAAGGAAGGAAGGAAGGAAGGAAGGAAGGAAGGAAGGAAGGAAGGAAGGAAGAAATATCTTAAAGGTGCTTTTTCAGGATGAGAAGGGAAAGGTCTTCAAAGGAAAACAAGAATGTCCACTTTCCTCTTTGGGACAAAACGGTTAGAAGTTACTTTTTTCAGTGCTGCTGTAACTTGGAACAGTCACTAAACGAATAGCTGTAAGTGGAGAGCTATGTGCAAAAGAGAATATTTGTGGATCAGGGTTACACTGTGTGTGTGTGTGTGTGTGTGTGTGTCCTTGGAACTGTCTGAACATGGTGGTAAAACATTGCTCTTGCAAACGCCCCCCAGTGAACTATTTCTATTTTTTTTTAAAGTTTTATTGATTTTCTAGTTTTTACATTTAAATATTTAAAAAGCAACGTGGCGGCTGAGTTAATCGATAATTCAGTAACATACAAATACCTTTAGTACAAGTCTCAAACTATTCCATTAAGTATTTCCCCCTCTGTGTTTACTGTCTCCTGTTTAAACTGATACAATTCTTATTATACCAATTAAATAAAAATAACTTTCTTACATTGATCAATCATTTTTAGTTTATACATATCCTCGTTATTTTAACATTCAATCTTTATAGACTATCTATTTTTTTTCACGGCACACAAACCCACATGTACGCAGCCGATGTCGGTTTACCTGGCAGTTGGGACAGCACTGGTGGAGGTCTTTTCGAATGCTGCATTTCTCGGGGTGAGGAAGCGGCTGAAATCTTCCCAGCAGCCTCTGAGCATTTTCCTCGGCCGTTTCCAGGGCGCGCAAGCAGTGGTCGCAGGCTGGAAGGGAAAGGGCAGGGGGAGATTGCAAAAAACACCCCCCCCCCAGCTTTGTTAGAATTGTTTGGAGAGTAGGCAAACTAATATCCCACTCAAGGAACCAGCAAGAAGAAACCCACACTCCCACCAACGCTGACAGGGCAAGGCACTAGAAAACTCGCCTCCCTTCTAGCGCTGATGGCGCTACCTAGTTAGGTCATGAGACGTCTGCAAGAAAACCACCCAGCTCAGAGAGCACCAAGGACCCCACAGTCCTCGTCCTCCTCCTCCTCCTCTTCCCTCTCTCCTCCATCGTTCCTTTCAAGCACTGATGATGTTACCTAGTTGGGTCATGAAATGTCTGCAAGGAAACCATCAAACTGAGAGAGCACCAAGGACCCCACAGTCCTCCTCCTCCCCCTTTCCCTTCCCCTCCTCCTCCTTCCCCACCCTCTTCTCTGCAAACCCACCTTCCTTCTAGCACTGATAGTGCTACCTAGTTGGGTCATGAAACGTCTGCAAGAAAACCACCCGGATCAGAGAGCACCAAGGATCCCACAATCCTTTTCCTCGCCCTCCTCCTCCTCCTCTTCTTCCTCCTCCTCCCTCTCTCCACAAACATCACTCCTTTCTAGCACTGATGATGTCACCTAGTTGGGTCATGAGATGTCTGCAAGAAAACAACCAAGCTCAGAGAGCACCAAGGACCCCACAGTCTTCCCTCTCCCTCTTCTTCTTCTTCTTCTTCTTCTTCTCCCTCTTCTTCTTCTTCTTCTTCTCCCTCTTCTTCTTCTTCTTCTTCTTCTTCTTCTTCTTCTTCTTCTTCTTCTTCTTCTTCTTCTTCTTCTTCTTCTTCTTCTTCTTCTTCTTCTTCTTCTTCTTCTTCTTCTTCTTCTTCTTCTCCTCCTCCTCCTCCTCCTCCTCCTCCCGTCTGCAAACATCACTCCCTTCTAGCACTGATAATGCTATCTACTTGGGTCATGAAACGTCTGCAAGAAAACCACCCAGCTCTGAGAGCACCAAGGATCCCATAGTCCTTTTCCTCCTCCTGCTCCTCTTCTTGTTCCTCCTCCTCCTCCTCCTCCTCTCTTCAAACCCCACTCCCTTCTAGCAATGATGATGTTACCTAGTTGGGTCATGAAACGTCTCCAAGAAAACCACCAAGAGAGCACCAAGGACCCCACAGTCCTCCTCCTCCTCTTCCTCCCCCCTCCTCCTCCTTTCCACAAACCCCCCCCCCCACTTCTAGCACTGATGATGTTACCTAGTTGGGTCATGAAACATCTGCAAGAAAACCACCCAGCTCATAGACCACCAGGGACCCCACAGTCCTCCCTTCTCCTCCTCTTCACAAACCTTACCCCTTCTAGCCCTGGAAATATTTCCTAGTTGGATAATGAAACATCTGCAAGAAAACAATTAGGGTGAGAAAGGACCAAGGACTCCACAGTCCTCCTCCCTGCAAACCCCATTCCTTTTTAGCACTGATGATATTCCCTAGCTGGGTCATGAAACGTCTGCAAGGAAACCACCCAGCTCAGAGAGCATCACAGTTAGAAGGGCCAGGCCCGCAATTTGCAGGACACTGCAACGTTCAGAAAGGTGGGCCGGTTGCGGAGTGCCCCAATCACGTGATCACATGACAGGGAGCATGCCACACGGATCGTCCCCGCGAGGACAGATTGCAACTCGTCACTTACCTCTGTATTTGTACAGGGCGTTCCAAAGAAACTGAGCCGACACCACAGGCTTTTCCACAAAAATTGTGTCCCCTTTCCTGATGTTTCGGGTGGCAAAAAGCCCTTTGCCCTTTAAAGCGGAGAGAATGAAGGAGAATTCAGGAAATATTCAGGGCTCGGCCTTCACAAGGAGATGAGAACAATTAACCAGTGGAACCACCTGCCACCAGAAGCGGTGAATGCTCCAACACTGGAGGCTTTTAAGAAGGGACTGGACAACCATTTGTCCGAAATGGTCTAGGGTTTCCTGCCTGAGCAGGGGGTTGGACTAGATGACCTCCAAGGTCCCTTCCAACTATTCTGTTCTGTTCTGTTCTATGCTTTCTCTATTCTTTCTCTATTCTATTCTATTCTGTTCTGTTCTATATTCTATTCTATTCCATTCCATTCTAAAGGAGAAACGTCCTGACAGTGAGAACAATTAACCAGCGGAACTGCTTGCCACCAGAAGTTGTGAATGCTCCAACACTGGAAGTTTTTAAGAAGAGACTGGACAGCCATTTGTCCGAAATGGTCTAGGGTTTCCTGCCTGAGCAGGGGGTTGGACTAGATGACCTCCAAGGTCCCTTCCAACTTTATTATTATTATTATTATTATTATTATTATTATTATTATTATTATTATTAAATATTAGCTAGTTTGGGGGGGCATTGTCTGGGGGAAGACCCCCAGCTGACCGTCCCAAGCATCTCTTTTAGAAAAAAGACCAACAGACCATTCTTTCCCAAAGGAGTTGGGAAGATGGGTGGGCTTCAACTCCCAAAATTCATCAGGCAGCCAGCTTTAAGATGGGTAGATTCCAACCCCCAGAATTCCCCAGCCTGAGGTTTTTTTAAAAAAAAAAAAAACAATTTTTATTAGTTTTCCATTTTACACCCACAAAGCTTAAGAACCAACGTGGAGATAGGGTTATCAATTAAAAACAATAACATTATAAATATACAGCTCACACAATATTCCTTGAAATTCCCCCCTCTCTCTCTATTTAGGATATTATAAGCAAATTAATACAGTTCTAAAAAGAAATTCATACATATAAATTCCGTTCATGAATAAAAAACTTTCAACATTATCTATTCCATAAAAATCCCATTTTACGTTTTATTAGTTTTTCAAATGTTTAAACTTAAAACTAACACTCTATTTAAAATATTATATTCAAATTAATACATTTCTAAAACAAATTCATACATTAATATATCACTCCATATAGATTCCATTAATCAATAAAAATTTCCAACAGCTCATTATCTATCCCATAAGATCCTGTTTTACGCTTTATTAATTTTTCAAACCTTTAAACTTAAACTAACACATTTATATACTATTCAGGTACCCCAAGTTTCTCTTATTTAAACATATTATTTCCATAACTAAATTCTTACATCTCTCAACTATGTTCTATTCTTGTTCAATAATTCTCCAATTATTAATTTCATCTCTTCCATTATTTCAATCTTTTTCTCATTATACCACCCCTATTATTAAAAACACATTAAAAAAATACTAAGAAAGAAAAAGAAAAAAATAACAGGAAGAAAAAGGAATATAGATAAACTCCCAGAATTCCTCCTCCAGAGTGATTTAACATGGGTGGGCTTCAACTCCCAGAGTTACTCGGCTATAAATTCACAGATTTTCTGGAGGGAAATTTAAACTAAACAGCGGGGACAGGGAGTTAATTGATACGGAACAACCCTGTCCCCGGCAATTTAAAAACTATAGGGCTATCAGTGCATGTAGCACAGATGTGTGTGTGGACAAGAATACCAACCTTGCTACCAATCAAAATGAAGCCTCTAATAGCGAGTGCCATATAAAGTGCACTAACCAAATAGGTGGTAAGACAATAGGGGAACTCAGGCACCACACAGGTTATGTAGAAAGGAAACACAGGGCCACCCACAAAGGACTCAAATGTTTATACACCAATGCACAAAGTATGAACAGCAAACAGGGTGAACTAGAAATTCAGGTTAATGAGGGCAGATACGATATTGTTGCCATTACGGAAACATGGTGGGATGAAACTCACACATGGAACACACAGCTAGAGGGATTTAAATTATTTAAAAGAAACAGACCAAATAAAAGAGGAGGTGGAGTTGCTCTCTATATAAGAAATAACTACATCTTCACAGAAATAGAGTACAACAATGATAAAAACTGTCTTGAATGCATTTGGGTCAATATAAAAGGGGGGGGAAATGACATTGCCATAGGTGTATACTACAGACCACCCAACCAAACAGAGGAAATAGATGAACTTTTTGCTAGTCAGCTAACTAAGGTATGTAGGAAGCACATCACAATAGTAATGGGGGACTTTAACTACCCTGACATCAACTGGGAGACAAACTCCGCACCAAGTGGAAGATCAAACAGGTTCCTGGCAAACCTAGCAGACAACTTTGTCTCCCAAAAAGTAGAGAATGGAACTAGGGGATTAGCCATTTTGGATCTAATTCTCACTAACAGAGATGAAATGATAGACGGTGTTGGAGCCATAGGAACCCTGGGAGGAAGTGATCATGCAATATTAGAATTCAACATTATAGAAGCACAACCAATAGAACACAGTCAAACTAGAGTCTTGGACTTCAAGAGAGCTAATTTCAATAAACTTAGAGAGGGCTTGGGAAGGATTCCATGGATGAGAATCCTCAAGGGGAAAACAACTCAAGAAGCTTGGGAAATTTTGAAAAATGAGATAATAAAAGCACAGTCTAGCACAATACCAACAAAGAGGAAAAATAACAGCTCTCAAAAGAAACCAGCATGGCTGCATAAAGAACTCTCTGACAAATTGAAAGATAAAAAGGACAAGTATAGAAAGTGGAAAGAGGGGAACATAACTAAGTCAGAATATCAGCAAATAGCCCGAGCCTGCAAAGATGAAGTGAAGAAAGCCAAGGCTCAAAATGAACTAAGGCTTGCGACCAAAGTCAAAAATAACAAAAAAAGCTTCTTTCAACATGTAAAAAACAAGAAAAAAGTGAAGGAAATGATTGGTCCATTAGTGGGTGGAAGTGGCAAGAAGGTGACAAGCAACAGGGAGAAAGCAGAACTATTTAACTCATTTTTTGCATCTGTCTTTACACAAAGGGAAAAAACAGACCAACCTATCAAAAATAGTGCCACAAAAAACAAAACAGAAACACAAGTTAAGATAGGCAAGAAAATCGTTAGTGAGCACCTGTCCAGCCTAGATGAGTTCAAATCGCCAGGACCAGACGGATTACACCCCAGAGTTCTCAAGGAACTGGCAGATGTGATATCGGAGCCACTGAACTATATTTTTCAAAGATCCTGGAACACAGGGGAACTACCAGAGGACTGGAAAAGAGCTGATGTAGTTCCCATCCTCAAAAAAGGAAAAAAAATGGATCCAGGAAATTACAGACCTATCAGCCTGACCTCAATACCTGGGAAGATCCTGGAAAAGATAATCAAACAACGAATCAACGAACACCTAGAGGCAAACAAAGTCATTACTAAAAGCCAACATGGGTTTGTCAAAAATAGATCATGCCAGACAAATCTTATTGCATTCTTTGACCAAGTGACAAAATTAGTGGATCAGAGGAATGCTGTGGACATAATTTACTTGGACTTCAGTAAGGCATTTGATAAAGTAGATCACAACCTACTACTTGACAAGATAGAAAAATGTGGGGTAGACAGAACCACCACCAGATGGATCCGTAGCTGGCTGACCGGCCGTACTCAGCGAGTGGTTCTCAATGGAACTGCATCTATATGGAGGGAAGTGTGTAGTGGGGTGCCCCAGGGCTCTGTTCTGGGCCCAGTACTCTTCAACATCTTCATCAACGATTTGGATGAAGGGATAGATGGGGAACTCATCAAATTTGCAGACGACACCAAGCTGGCAGGAATAGCCAACACTCCAGAAGACAGGCTTCAGATACAGAAGGATCTGGACAGACTTGAACACTGGGCACTAACTAACAAAATGAAATTCAATGGTGAAAAAAGCAAGGTTCTACATTTAGGCAAGAAAAACCAAATGCACAAGTACAGCATAGGTGGCACCATGCTCAATAGTAGTAACTGTGAGAGGGACCTCGGAGTCCTAGTAGACAATCACTTAAATATGAGCCAGCAGTGTGCTGCAGCTGCCAAAAAGGCCAACACAGTGCTAGGCTGCATTAACAGAGGGATAGAATCAAGATCACGTGAAGTATTAATACCACTCTTCAATGCCTTGGTAAGGCCACACTTGGAATACTGCATCCAGTTTTGGTCACCACGATGTAAAAAAGATGTTGAGACTCTAGAAAGAGTACAGAGAAGAGCAACAAAGATGATTAGGGGACTGGAGGCTAAAACATATAAGGAACGGTTGCGAGAATTGGGTATGTCTAGTTTAACGAAGAGAAGGACAAGGGGGGACATGATAGCAGTATTCCAATATCTCAGGGGCTGCCATAAAGAAGAGGGAATTAAGCTATTTTCCAAAGCACCTGAAGGCAGGACAAGAAGCAACGGGTGGAAACTAATCAAGGAGAGAAGCAACCTAGAACTAAGGAGAAACTTCCTGACAGTGAGAACAATTAATCAGTGGAACAGCTTGCCTCCAGAAGCAGTAAATGCTCCAACACTGGAAGTTTTTAAGAAGAGACTGGACAGCCATTTGTCCGAAATAGCGTAGGGTTTCCTGCCCGAGCAGGGGGTTGGACTAGATGACCTCCAAGGTCCCTTCCAACTTTACTACTATTACTAATTCCCCAGCTAGCCTGTTACCAAGTGGGGCCCCATCCTCCCAGATGTGGATGCTTTCAGATCTGTGGACTTCAACTCCCAGAATTTTCTAGAAAAATGGAAACTAACCAAGGAGAGAAGCAACCTAGAACAGGGGTAGGCAACCTTGGCTCTTTTATGACTGGTGGACTTCAACTCCCAGAATTCCTGAGCCAGCCATGCTGAGGGGAAAGGGAGAGGTTTCCAAGCTGAGCCAGGCTGGCTGAGGAATTCTGGGAGTTGAAGTCCACGAGTCACAAAAGAGCCAAGGTAGCCTACCCGAGTTACTAGGAAGATGAGGGGACTTCAACTCCCAGAATTCCTGAGCCAGCATGGCACCCTGTATCAGGAACAGGCAACCTTGGCTCTTTTATGACTGGTGGACTTCAACTCCCAGAATTCCTGAGCCAGCAATGCTGAGGGGAAAAGGAGAGGTTTCCAAGCTGACCCCTGCTGGGTCAGGAATTCTGGGAGTTGAAGTCCATGAGTCATAAAAGAGCCAAGGTTGCCTACCTTTGGCCTAGGCCTAGGCCGCTTTCTGACTCGTGGACTTCAACTCCCAGAATTCCTGAGCCAGCATGGCTCAGCTTGGAAGCCTCTCCCTTTTCCCTCAGCATGGCACACAAGTTGCCTCTAGAAGTTGTGGGTCACTCCAAGAGTGCAAGTTTTTAAGGAGCAACTGGACTTGTCTGAAATGGTAGAGAGTTTCCAGCTTGAGCAGGGGGTCAGACTAGAAGACCTCCAAGGTTCCCTTCCAGCCCTATTCGGATCGATCTGTCCTTGTTGGCAAGCTGGTCCTCGACAGAAATAAGGGACTGGGGGGGTCAGACTAGAAGACCTCCAAGGTTCCCTTCCAGCCCTATTCGGATCGATCTGTCCTTGTTGGCAAGCTAGTCCTCGACAGAAATAAGGGACTGGGGGGGGGGGTCAGACTAGAAGACCTCCCAGGTTTCCTTCCAGCCCTATTCGGATCGATCTGTCCTTGTTGGCAAGCTGGTCCTCGACAGAAATAAGGGACTGGGGGGGTCAGACTAGAAGACCTCCCAGGTTTCCTTCCAGCCCTATTCGGATCGATCTGTCCTTGTTGGCAAGCTGGTCCTCGACAGAAATAAGGGACTGGGGGGGTCAGACTAGAAGACCTCCCAGGTTTCCTTCCAGCCCTATTCGGATCGATCTGTCCTTGTTGGCAAGCTGGTCCTCGACAGAAATAAGGGACTGGGGGGGTCAGACTAGAAGACCTCCCAGGTTCCCTTCCAGCCCTATTCGGATCGATCTGTCCTTGTTGGCAAGCTGGTCCTCGACAGAAATAAGGGATCGATCGATCGGATTGACTGATAGAAGCCAGACACAGCTCAGGAAAATCCTTCGTGAGCCGAAGGCTGGGAGGGAAAAAAAATCTCCCCGTGGATCGTTCGGGCGAGAATCTCAAAGGATCCCCTAGCAATTAAGTCTCTCTCTTCCCCCCCCCCAAAAAAGAGATTCCCCCCCCCCAGCGGAAGCAGCCAATCCTGTCTGGCTTCTAACTCTCAGCCCAGACCCGCATCCTTGATCACCGGCCAGGTTCAGACGACGCGGCGCGGGCGCACGTGGCGGAAGCCCCCCGGCCGCAGCCCAGGCACGGGGAGGGGTCCCCGTGGGTGGGCCAGCCGCCCCCAACTCTCCCCGTAGGCAGCCCTGCAGCCGGGCAGCCCCGCAGGAGCTCCCGCCCGCCCGCCCGGTCTTGCCACGACGGCGCTGCGGCTGCTATTGCGGCGGGCGCCCGCTTGCAGACGCCCGCCGGGCTTACCTTGGCCCCGCCGGTCAGGCGCAGCTCCAGGGCGCGGCGGGCTTGGCCGGGGGGCGCCTCCAGGCAGAAGGCGAAGGGGTCGCCGCTGGGAGCCGCCATCTTCGCCCCGCCCGCTCGGCCAGGCCTCCCGAAGGAGGAGGAGGAGGAGGAGGAGCCGCCCGGCCCGGCCTCGCCGCGCACGGGAAGCCGCCGCGCCGCCCTGCAAGCCGGCGCCCGCTGAATGGACAAAGGGAGGCAGACACGTGGACGGAGAGAGAGAGAAAGGGAAAGAGAGAGGGGGAAGGATGGATGGATGGAGAGATAGAGGAGGGAGGAATGTGGATGGATGGATCTGATAGAGGAAGGGATGGACGGACGGGTGGACAGGGAGGGAGATGGTTGGAGAGATAGTAGATTAGATAGGTGGGTGGGTGGATAGATGGATGAATGAAGGGATGGGAAGATGAAGGGATAGATGGGTGGGTGAGTAGATGGGTAATGGGTAGGTAGATGACAGACAGACAGATAGATAGACAGAAGGAAGGAAGGATAGGATAGGAAAGAGATAGATAGATAGATAGATAGATAGATAGATAGATAGATAGATAGATAGATAGATAGATAGATGGTTGGATGGAAGGAAGGAAGGAAGGATAGCAAAGAGACAGATAGACAGACAGACAGATGATAGATAGATAGAGGTAGGTAGGTAAGTAGATATAGATAGATAGATAGATAGATAGATAGATAGATAGATAGATAGATAGATAGGTAGATAGATAGACCAGACAAAGAGAGAGGTGATGATAGATGATAATTGGATAATTAGATGATAGACAATGATAGACAGATTGATCAATAGCAAGCAGACAGTCAGACAGACAGTATGGTTACCTTACAATGCACCATTTCATCCCATTACAGGTTACAGGCAGACAGGAGACTTTTAGTGAGTGATGGGATGGATGGATGGATGGATGGATAGATGGATGGATGGATAGGGTGGACAGAGGTAGGGAGAGATAGGTAGGTAGGTAGGTAGATGCATCCAGTAACTACATGTGCGAAAGGAAATGGGGGGGGGAGGTGAAATTGATAAATGAAGGAGTTCTTTCTCAAACCAACAATTAACCACTAGAACAGCTTGTAGCCTCTAGAAGTTCTGGGTTCTCCATCACTGGAGGTTTTTAAGAAGACTGGACAGCCACTTGTCCAGAATTATATAAGATCTCCTGCTTGAGGTGGGGGGTTGGACTACTTTAAGATCTCCAAGGTCCCTTCCGACTCGGATTGGATGGATGGATGCCTCCAGGAAATGTCGCAAAATGAAAAACAGACATTTTGTTTTTCCTTATCCCCCAAAATTGGCTGTTTAGGATAGTCTGTTTCTGAACCTGGCGCTTTTACCGTACTGTCGCACCTTACAGATCAGCATCGATCTGACATTAAAGGCATACTCTGAAAAGTGATGCAAAGTTCTAGCTCTTTCTTAGGCATGAAAGCCGTCTGGGTGACTCTGGGCCAATCACCAGGTGACTGTGAGTTCTAGTCCCACCTTAGGCATGAAAGCCAGATAGGTGACTTTGGGCCAATCACCAGGAGACGGTGAGTTCTAGTCCCGCCTTACGCATGAAAACCAGATGGGTGACTTTGGGCCAATCACAGGAGACGGTGAGTTCTAGTCCCGCCTTAGGCATGAAAGCCGGCTGGGTGACTTTGGGCCAATCACCAGGAGACGGTCAGTTCTAGTCCCGCCTTAGGCATGAAAGCCGGCTGGGTGACTTTGGGCCAATCACCAGGAGACGGTGAGTTCTAGTCCCGCCTTACGCATGAAAGCCGGCTGGGTGACTTGGGGCCAATCACCAGGAGACGGTGAGTTCTAGTCCCGCCTTACGCATGAAAGCCGGCTGGGTGACTTGGGGCCAATCACCAGGAGACGGTGAGTTCTAGTCCCGCCTTACGCATGAAAGCCGGCTGGGTGACTTTGGGCCAATCACCAGGAGACGGTGAGTTCTAGTCTCACCTTAGGCATGAAAGCTGACTGGGTGACTCTGGGCCAATCACCAGGAGACGGTGAGTTCTAGTCCCACCTTAGGCATGAAAGCTGACTGGGTCACTCTGGGCCAATCACCAGGTGACGGCGAGTTCTAGTCCCGCCTTAGGCATGAAAGCTGACTGGGTGACTTTGGGCCAATCCCCAGGAGACGTTGAGTTCTAGTCCTGCCTTAGGCATGAAAGACAACTGGGTGACTTTATGCCAGTCACTCTTTCGCCCATCTCCAGTGCCAAGCACACCATGCAGCCTTGTCCACAAAGTTGACACCACATCTGCTCATTTCAAAGGAAACTTTTTATATCTGCCTTTCTTGGAAAACGAAAGCATTGGGACGGCCGAAATTTGGGGCAGGCAGAGGATGATAACCAAGAATTTCTCCCACCTTTCAGCTCAATTATTTGATGTGGGAGGGCAAAGAAATGGCCTTGAAATGCCCCCAATTGGATTTTAACCCCCCCCCTCCAAATAGTTTGGGGCAGGGTATGATAGAACAAGGAATAAACGCCAAGAAGACAAGCGTCTTTTTGAAATGATTTCTCCTTTCTTCTGCATTCCTCCAACATTGCAAATTCACACAAAAGGAATCTTAAAACGCAAACCAAACCACACCAGTTGAATTATTGGTCTGCCCTTCAGGATGCCAGATGGATACCCAACTGGCAAAAAAAAAAAAAAAAAGCCACCCGTTTTCCAGACCCATCTGCTTTGCTTTCCCAAATGGATGGAGCACCAAGGGGTGATTTTTCTGGAAAGTGGGCAGAGCTAGATGGGCCCATATTGAAGGAATGCGGGTGTGCAAACTACAAGGCAGAAGAGCCAAAGAAAGTCAGTGAAGTGGGGGCTGAGAAAGGAAAGGGAAGGAAAGGAAGGAAGGGAGGGAGGGAGGAAGGGAGGCAGAAAGGAAGGAAAAGAGGGAGGACAGAAGGAAGGAAAAGGAATGGAGGAAGGAAGGAAAAGAGGAAGGAAAGGAAAAGGGAGAGATGGAGGAATGGAGGGAGGACAGAAGGAAGGAAGGAAAAGAGGAAGGGAGGAAGGAATGGAGGCAGGAAGGAAGGAAAAGAGGAAGGGAAGACGGAAGGAAGGAAAAGAGGAAGGAATGGGGGAGGAAGGAAGGAAAAGAAGAAGGAAAGGAAAAGAGGGAGGGAGGAATGGAGGCAGGAAGGAAGGAAAAGAGGAAGGGAGGGAGGGAGGAATGGAGGGAGGAAGGAAAGAAGGAAAAGAGGAAGGGATGGAAGGAGGAAGGAAGGAAAAGAGGATGGAAGGGAGAGAGGGAGGAAGGAAAAGGAATGGAGGAAGGAAGGAAGGAAGGGAAGAAGGAGGGAAAGAGGAAGGAAGGCGAGAAAGGGGCGTTCCTTTCTCACCCCCCCCCCAAAACAGCACATTCAGGGCACCCCATCTTCAAAAGGAGGGTCAAAACTTCCCCAAGCCCAGCAGGACCCCCGTGTCCCATTTCAGTTCCTTCCCACAACTCAGTGGCCCTCCTTCCAGACGCATGGGGGGGCTGGCTGGGGATAATGGAGACCGTAGTCCAAAACTTCCCAGAAGGCTGCAAAGCTGCTTCTGGGCTATAGGTCCAGAGCGGAAAGGTCCCAACGGATTCCCGTTTTTTGGCCAAGCCGGTGGTGGCGGTATACAGGACGAGCTCATTTCTTTCCCAGTTGAGTCTTCGCCTGCTCCAGCTTGGCCGCCACGGCGGCGTCGGTGCACTTGGACAGGATCAGATTCATCTCCCCTTCGTTCTTGCGCTCGGTGGCCGCTTCGGCCGCCTGGCTGAAGTCCCTACGGCCACGGAAGGAAGTTTAAAAAAAAAAAAAGGACATTTAAAAGACGTCCGAAGTCCAAGGTTCCTTCCCCCACCCCCACCCCGAGGTAATTTTTTTGCCCACTGGGGAACGCGCGGGGACTAGTCCTCATGAGGGTGCGTCTCAGAAGCCGGTGCGCTAAATCCCTCAGGGTTTTCTTGGGAGAAGGATGGTCTAGGGTTTCCTGCCTGAGCAGGGGGTTGGACTAGATGACCTCCAAGGTCCCTTCCAACTTTATTATCATTATCATCATCATCGTCATCATCATCATCATTATTATTATTATTAAGAATTCAGCTTTCCCTCTTCCAAAATGACTGGTGCTTTTCAAGCTGCCTCTGATCAACAGGCCAAAATAATAATAATTATTATTATTGGAGAAGCTGAGCAGAATTCGAACCCAAAGGCCAAAATAATAATAATGAAAATAATAAAATAATGATAACGATAATGATAATAATAATAACAATAACAATAATAAAGGGCTTTGTATCCAAATACGTTGGTCGTATTTGGATACAAAGCCCTTCATTATTATTATTATTATTATTATTATTATTATTATTATTGTTATTTTGGCCTTTGGGTTCGAATTCTGCTCAGCTTTGAAACCACAAATAGCAGTGGGTCCACTGCGATCGGCTAGTTGTGTTTTCTCCAACGTGGCCCCTTTAAGACGGGTGGATTTCAACTCCCAGAATTCCCCCAGCCAGCTCTGCTGGCTGGGGGAATTCTGGGAGTTGAAGTCCACCCGTCTTAAAGGGGCCACGTTGGAGAAAAACACTTGATTTTATCCAACTCCTGCTCAAGGCAGTAAACCAGATCCTAGCCGCCCTGACAGATGCCTGTCTGCCTGGACTCGCCCGCAGGACAGCAGCCTGCTCACCCCTTTAATTTACCAGCTCCACCACTACTAAATTTTGCCTTAATTGTCCACCCAAATCTGCTTTTTTCTTTTTTTTTTTTTTTTTGGAGTGGGAGGGGGATTCAAATCCCTTCTCCAGTTCTGGACATCGCGTTTTGGGGGTGTCTTTTGTCGGGGGGTCTCCCGTGTCTCCTCTGATTTCCCTCTGAACTGGTCTAAAAATGCACCCCTTTGATTGACGGGTCCGGTCAGAGGAGCAGGAAAAGCGCTGGCCCTGGCATCTTGGATGCCGCTGCTCGGGAACGCTGAGATTCCGGGGAGGGGGGGGTTGTTGGGGGGGAGGCCCCCACGCTTGCTACCTACCCCACCAAGAGGAAAGCCTTGACTTTCTGTTCGG